ATGATAAAAAATACTAACTCAGAAGGAAAAACCACCAGTAAACAGAACCTGATGCTCAGCAGCTGCACTCGTCTAGATCAGACCTTCCTAGTCACGACCAAGAAGGGCTTAGGAATCCAAAGATGTGTCGGCATCAGAAATCTTCCTGAATTCACCACTTGTCAGGAGATGTAAAGTAAAATATAATTCCAGGTACATGAAAGTCAAAATTAAGCTTAACGATATAAGCTTTTAAAACCAGAACTAAAGGGAGTTTTCTTAACCCTAATAAAGAGGCTTTTACAAAAAGGCCTTCAGTGGACATTTGTACTTGATGGTAAAGGCAAGAGTGTTCCCTCCTGGGCCTTATCTCCCAGAGGTCCCAGCCAACACGCATGGGAGTGAATTAAGAATGAGTGCAGATAAAAATTTTAAAAAGTCTCTAAAGAAGATGTCACTGTTTTTTTTTTTTTTAAGTCCAGGAAAATCTACAGACAGAACTAAGGGGAGCTGAGCAAGTCTGCTGGATCATAGATGGACATAGAGCCACAGCAGATAATTTTCTCAAATACTCATAACCCAGGTCAAGTCTGAGAAAATACCAGACAAACTGAGGGACGTTCTTCAAAATTCTGAACAACTATCACATCATGGAAAACGAGAGTGCTGAGACGCTGTAGCCTGCCTGAGGAGAGTGACCACTGTGTAATGTGGGGTCCTGGGGGTTCCAGAATAGAAGGAAGGGATTCACCGAGACCTGGGTGAAGTCCACATGAAGCCCATAGTTCATTAGCATGTGCTAGGACTGTTTTTTTTTTTTAAATATTTTTATAGTAGATGGATGCAATGCATTTGTTTCATTTTTATGTGGTGCTGAGGATTGAACCCAGTGCCTCGCATGTGCAAGGCAGCACTCTACCAACTGAGCTATAACCCAGCCCCTAAGACTGTTTTGACAATATCCTGTACCAAGGTAATGTAGGACATTATCAAGGGAAACTGTGTGAAGAATCTTTGTATTGCTTTGCAACATTTACGGAAGTCTGAAATTATTTTAAAGATAACAAATGAGAAATCACCAGCAGCATAATTCATAGGAAAAATGCCCCCTAAGGTCAAATAAGGATCTTACAGGAAAAAACAGTACATTGTATTATTTATGTCTGTAGAATACACATGCATATTGACTTAGAGCACGGTCAGAGATGAAAGGTCTTCATAGCATAACATTTGCAGTTTTCTCTGAATCACTCTGGATTTAATAAAATACTAATCAGTATCTCAGGATATTTTATCAAACTGATTCTGAATATCATTTGAAAGCTCTGGGGCTAAGAACAGACACTTTCGAGAAACAAAGTAGGGCAATTCCCTTGAAGTTGTCACAGCATTTTGAAGTTTTAGTAATCAATGAGGGGGGGTCAGGTGGACCAATGGGACAGAGTTCAGGAACAGGCTCACTTGTACATGAAAACATATGTCAGGGGAATTTACATCCCTGCTATAGGACATATACAAAAGTAAATTCAAAAACCTACAACTGACAGTTATTAGACTATCTTCATGACCTCAGTATGGAGAAAATTTTCTTAAATAAGACATAAAACTAGAAACCTGAAAGAAAAGATTGTTAATGTTTATACACTCTTCCAAGACACCAGGTAACCATGGCCCTCCTAATGAGCGTGGGGATGGGAGTGGGGGACAGGAAGTAATTGAAGCTGGAACACTACATTTTATTTGCCTGTAAATATGACCTAGATGCAGTGTGGAGAATGGCAGAGGCAGGAGTTTGGAGTAGATGAAGGTTATCTCCGGAAAATAGTGGCAGTTGGATTACTGTGGAAAGGGAAAGTGGGACAAATTCGGGATGTGCCCTGGGTAGAGAGTCAGTATGATTTGCTGACAAATTGAACGTTGGTGGTGGTAAGCAATAAAGGAAAAAAACCTAAATGAGATTTCTTGGCTACAGCAGCTGGTGATGTTGGTACAAATGGGGAAAGGGAAAATTAATAATTGTTTCCAGTGCTCTTGGTTGTGGATAGTTGGTTACATGAGACTCTACTTTTGTGGAGAGTTCTATGCAGAGAATTGAAATTTGGGAACCTTTGGCATGCAGGTGGCATTTAAACCTATTTAGTTGAAAATGTAAGGCTGCTTCCTAGCGAGAAGCTATTAATGGAGAGTAGTGACTCAGTCCTGGGCAAGACATGTAGCATTTGGAGGTTGAGTGAAGGAGAAGCCCAGTTGTGATGTATAAGAGGTGGTTGGTGTAGAACAACAACCAGGACTGTGTAGTGTCACCAGAAATAAGAAAAAATAATGTGGGATTTTGTTCACTATTGTTTGTTTGAATTCAGATGTTGAATGCTGCTGTAAGATCAAGAACGTTTCCTAGCTCATAGGGAATAGGTGAAATTGTCAGGCAGCTTCAGGCATGTGGAAGGAATGGATGCCTACCTGGCATACATGTTAGGGAATACGGAGAGAATGTGCAGTAAGGTCCTTCCGTTGTGACAATGGACTACTCTGTGGAGGGGGGCTGGGTACAGGGGAATGGAGTGGTGGCTGTGGAATCTCTTGAAAGCATATGGTATCATGGAAACAAATGATCCGGGATCCAGAAAAGTGGATTGTGGAGACGGAGAATGAGTTCCTTAGAAATATGTTAAAACCACCTCTAAATCTCCCCAGATATTGGGATTCCCCCAGGAGCTCCAAAGCCGTTTTCGCAGTGGGATCCCGGGCGTCCGCATTGTTTAACAGCTTCCCCGTTGAGCCTAAGGAGTGGCCAAATTTGAAAATATTTGACCTCAGAGTAGGAGCACACGTTCACCTCTAGTCCTGCTGCTAGGAGCTTGTTTTGAAGGTAGGTCTACACAGTGAGCACAGTGTTTTCATTCATATTTCATGTTTATGTTGCACTGCTGAAGGGCTGGGGAGTCTCAGAATGCATGCCCCCTCCAAGACCGCAGCCTCTCAGCACAGCAAGCGACTACTGTTAACTCCTCCTTACCTACAAATACGTGCTTTAAGTTGGCTATATTCTGTGTGCTTTTAGGTAAACTGCTTTTAATAATAAACTGGGTCTTAGTGGGTTTTTTCTTTAAAATTAAAATCATTCCACATTTTTATTGGCCATATAAAATTGCAGTGCGGATTTACAAGAACACAGTTCAATTCTCTGCAGTGCACATTTTTAGTGACCATCCCTGTATGTACATCTCTGGGTATTTCCTTCGCCTTAGTTCCTTGAGAGCGGGATAGCTGGATCAAAGGGTACATTAATGGACTTTCGGCAGCTCATGGGCTGTACGGGTTTCTGCCCAGGAAATGCAGAACGCTTCCCGCTCACCCGCCACGCGCCCTTTGGTGGAGGGGCGGTGAATTTCCACCAGCCTCGCCACCTGCGCGTGTTCTCCACGCTCGAGGACACACTCACCGGTCCGCGTGGGCTCCGGCCACGGCCCGTGTCGATATCCTGGTCCTCGGGCTCCACGGCAGTGCGCGCGGGCAGTCCTCGCGCGTTTCCCTGCGAGTGGCTAGTCGCGTCCCTCTTGCCCGTTTTCTGCCTGGTTTGGTCCTTGTTGGTTTGCAAGAGCTCCTCATTAACTAGTAGGATTAGCCCAGTATTTTTCGTGCGTTCCCGGCAGAGTAGCCTCAACGTCCACGCTGTGGTTCGTCTTTAGACCTCTATGTGTGTTTTCCCGGATTTTCATTTTTCTTGTCGTTTAGTCAAATGTGTAAGTTCATCTTTTATTCCCCCCATAGGTTTTGCTTTGGGGCATAATTTTTGGGCATTTCTCCGGTTCACCCATTTCTTTGGGGGTGCACCTTCCCCACCCCGCCCCCATTTCCAGACCCTGCTTCGGCCCCTAGCTCCCGCGCCCGCTCGGTTGACGTCAACGCCAGCCTTCGCGCCAAGCTGTTGCCACGGCAACTGCTGCCTGATCCGCAAGGCGCGGAGGCGTGGCGAGGGCGGCATTGCCGCGGATTGGCTGGCGGAAGCCCCGCCTCTGCAGAGAAGCCTGACAAGGAGGCATCGGGCAGTGCTGGCTGCAGACGCTGGGCAGCTGCTGGAGGACGAGGATCGGAAGAGCCAGAGATGTCCACCCTCGGCTGGTGGCGCCGCCGGGCGCCAGGTGCTGTGTGGACGCGCTAGACGGGCTGAGCCGGGTGCCGTGCTTCGCTGCGCGGTGGGCAGGTGAGTCGCTGCCCGCCTGCAGGAGCGCACCCTCCCGGACTTTGACCGCGGAGGAAGGACGGTGTCCAGGTCGCGCCCTGCGGGCTCGTGGCAGCTGTCTTGTGGACCCTCAGGAGGGGCGGGCAGAAAGGTGCTGGCGCGATCATGCTGCGGGCTGCACAGGGCTTGTAGCAAGACTGTGCTCCGCACCTGTGGGAGTCGCGGGAAGGGGTGGCCAGATTGCCGCGGGGCTGCCGTCCCGCATGGCTGGGGTCTCGGGGCTCCGGGGGTCTCCGGGCTCTGCCACTCAAAGCGTAGTTGCCACTTCGGCCAGTCGGGCCGCATGTGGGAAGGTGTCGGAGAGCCTAACACCCTGAGGAGCCGAGTCCAGACGGGGGGACTTCAGGGTACCATCCTGAGGCACCTAAACCCTGGGGACAGACGCCGCGGGACCACCCCATCGCGGCAGTGACGGGTCTGCAGCCCGCGCTCAGTACTGCGCTGTCTGCTGGGGGAGGAGCTTATTTTGCCGCAGTGGCCATGGGAGGGGCCACAAGCCACTGGGGGTGGGGCCAGTCTTACGTGGGAGGTGGGAGGTGTTTTGGGCTCTGCCCGCTCTTCGGGCGCCCTCTGGTGGCGGCGGGTTCTCTTGGACGGGATCTACACGCTTGCCGCGCAAGCGTCATTCTGATTGGTTGTCTGGGATTGGGGCGGAGCCAGGGCTTCTGCCACGGCTGCCTCTTGGGGTTGTGGCTGTCTTGTCTGGCCCCGCCTGTCCGGCGCCATCTTTAAGGGGCAGGGATTTGCTGCGCAGGTGCAGTCTTGGCTGATTGCTGTGTCGGGCTGGGCTTGCGGGTCGTGTCCTCGGCAGTGCCTGGAGGCTGTGGGGTGCTGGCAGTGGAGGTGCCACCCTGACTGCTGTCTTTTCTGGTTGGTTCTTTGGCCCAACCTGCGACTTCAGGTGGAGCCAGGTGCTGTGCGCCTAATTTGCCGTAGCTGCCGCGGTACTTCTGGTCTAAGGGACAGAGCGGCAAGTTGCAGTATTCCCGCGGCTTCTCCTGGGGTGGTGCGCACTAGAGTTTCATTCTGTTATTGTCTGGGGACTTTTTTTTTTTTTTAACCCCGGAATGTCTCAGGCTCCAACTCTGGAAGGTGTTGAAAGCGGGAAGCAGCAAAAAATGTGTTGTACGTTGGTGTCTTGTGGACGGGCGGGAGGGGTGCCTTGTCCTGAGTGACTCTCCCGCCCATGGTGTGGACTCTGTTGGCCACAGAAGGGCGCTCGACGCTTGCTGCGGCAGGCGCCACCCTGAGTGACAGCTGGGCTGGCTGCGGAGTGTAGATCGGAGGGAGGGGCTGTCTCCTGAGTGACTGACAACGCTCAGGTCCCGCCCACTCAGGCACCATCTTTTCTGGCCACCTGGGGGCGTGTGACGTTCGCTATGCGGGTACCRTCTTCATTGACAGCTGAGTTGCTACAGGGGATGGGCACAAGAGGGGGACCGTCTTCTGGGTACTGACGGGCAGCAAGGCCCCGCCCACCTGGCGTAGTCTTGGCTGGCCACAGGGGAGCGCCCGAGGTTTCCTGTACGGGCTCCATCGTCACTGACTGCAGACCGGCTGCAGAGGGTGGGCCCAAGGGAGGGGCTGTCTTCTGAGTGCCTCAGCGGGCATCCGTCCACCCTGGCGCCATCTTTGCTGGTCATTGGGGGCGGCCTTTTGTTTTCTACCTGGATGCCTACAGGGGGTTTGCCTGAGGGAGGATCTGTTTTTTGAGTTACTAATGAGCCCGAAGAACCCACCCACCCTGGCGCCATCTTTGCTAGCCACAGGGGAGATGCCTGACTTTTGTATGAGGGCGCCATTTTCATGGACAGCGGCTGGCTGCAGGAGGCGGGTCCAAGGGGGGGCTGTTTTCTGAGTGACAGGGACAGAAGAGCCCCACGCGTCCCGAAGACCTCTCTGCTAGCCACAAGGGGGCGGTTGACGCTTACTGCGCAGGTGCCAGCTTCACTGGCGGGGCTGGCTGCAGGAGGGCGGGCCCAAGGGAGGGGCTGTTTTCTGATAGGGACAGAAGAGCCCCGCCCACCTGGGAGCCATCTTTGCTACCACTGGGGGGCGCCTGATGCTTTCTGCGCAGGCGCCATCTTCTTGGGCGGACTGACTGCAGGGGAAAGTTCTAAGGGAGGAGCCATCTTTCAAGTGACAAGGACGGTAGAGCCACGCCTACCCTGGAGACATCTTTGCTAGCCACTGGGGGGCACCTGATGCTTTCTGCGCAGGTGCCATCTTCATGGGTAGGGGCTGGCTGCAGAGGGCAGGCCCAAGGGAGGGGCTGTCTTCTGAGTGACAGGGACAGCAGAGCCCACCCACCCTGGAGCCATCTTTGCTAGCCATAGGGGGGCGTCTCAAATTTACTGCGCAAGCTCCATCCTCATTGGCAAGGATTTGCTGCAGGGGCGGGCCCAAGGGAGGGGCTGACTTCTGAGTGGTGGGCCCGCGGATCCCCACTGGCCTTGGTACTTTGCGTGTTGGCCGAAAGGTGGCAGCCCAGGACTTCTGCGCAGGTGTCATGTAGAATGACAGCAGGACTGTGGGCGGGCCACAGTCATGTTCTTTCAGTCTGTGCAGGTGTCATCAGGTGACAATGGCCCACCAAGCCCCGGCCGCCAAACTGGCTGGGTGCCACACTTGCTGCCGTGTTGCCACAGGGTGGGGCTCAACACTTAACCTCGCTCTCTGCAGACATGGGTCCAGAATTCAGGGGCTTGATATACTGGGGGGGGGTATGGAGGCGGGGGCTGAGCATATGATTTGGGGGTCTGGGTAATTTGGGGGCTGTGGGAGCAGAAGGGATTTTACTCAAATTCTACAGCTGGAACAGCTGTAGGTGGTCCTGAGAGGCAAGGCAAGGCAAGGGGAATTGGGGGTGGGGGGGGTGTGGTGATCTGGGCAAGGGCCTGGCAAGAGAGGCTGGCCACGCCCATGGCTAGGAGAGTGTGGAGCTTGCACAGAGCTTCTGGCAGTCTGCAGTAGCTGAGCATGTCTGAGGCTYCAGGCTTGTCTCCACTCTAGCTTTTTAAGTCCCTGTCTCCTTTCCCCTTCTGCCCTCCAGGAGGTAGGAAAAGTGATACACAGGATTCTTCCTTTCCAGTTGTKGTTAATGTATCAATTTATTAATGGCTAATATTAATAATGGCTGACACTTATGGAGCATCAGTAAATGGCAAGTAGTTTCTAATAAGTAAACTATTTGATCTTACCAAAATGTACTCGCCTGACCCTGGAACAGAAACCAGAAATGTGATGTGAAGCTCCCTCCCCCGGGGCCTCCAGTTGGTTGAATAGATGCTGTTAAGTGCCCTGGGGTTTTAACTATGTATTATGAGTCCACTGGGAGCGTGTTGATGAGCCATAAAGCATTACACATAATTAAGTAATGATACAAGTGTCTAATAGTATTGGTGATGATAGCATTAAAGTTCTAAAATAGGTAGTTCCTTCATATTTAAATTTACAGCAAAATTAAAATTCAGGTCCTACTGCACTGACTATTAAGTGACAGAACTGGAGTTTGAATTCATGTTTCTAATGGGTACCTATTGGTATACCATGTGATTTCTGTAAAACACAAGTCAATTTTCTATTTGTAAATGGCATTAAGTTAGTTTCTAATAGTTTGCCTAGAAAATTAATAGAATTGTGAAAACTAGTGTAAATGTGAGAGCTAAACACTATACCTGGTATTGTGTAAGAGTTCTTTCTCAGTCGGTTTTCTCCAGTTTTTATGTGCAGCATGTATCTTTGCCTTTAGAGGAATGCTTAGGGCCACGTGCATAAGTGGTTATATGGATGACTGAATTGCTCTCTTAATCCAGAACCCAGAGGTTTGGAGACATCCCAGAGCGGACTTCAAGGCCCTTGACATAACCTGGTCAGGAGGCCCTGAGCATAGCAAGGATGCAGCATGGACCTCAGGAGTAATGCCCATGACCATCATCCTGGGCAGTGAGGCTGCCCTCCTGGTCTCACTGGACCTGTGCTGTTGTGGGAGATACGGGTGGACCTGTGTGCTTGTTGACCGCTGAGGAGCCTGTAACTGCAAAGTAAATTGGGTGCTTCATGTTTTGTTTTTCTTCCCACAGCTCTGCCTTCTTGATCTTTCACCTTCTTGGAGACAGCTGGCAAGAAAGAGGGACTAGGTCCAAGCGCTAGGTGGCTGAGTCCAGGTGAGTCGTCCTTACTACTCACACTGCCACACTTGCCTCTGGAGGGAGCCCTGTGCTCCCACACCTTGACATTTCCCTGCTGTGCATAATGTTCACATAGCCTCAAGAGCACCGTCAGACCCTCACACTCTTCTGGCTGTGTATGCACTGGCCAGAAGTTCTCCACTGTGATCTCATGCCGTCCCTCTTGGTGTCCTACCTCTTTTTCTAGCAGTCAGCCACTCCTTTAGGCCTCCTCTTTCTCTCGTGGGGTGATTTAAGAAGTGTGAGAGATTTGATTCATCTGCCAGTATTGATCCAAGTACACTTTGTGCCGGGCACTGGGAACATGGCTTTAAGTGGGAAGGGAGGTGTCTTCATGGAGCTTGTAGTCTCATGGAAAACACGACTGTGTGATTCAAGTCTTTGGGGCACATTTGTCAGGGGGAGCTAGTTTAATCTGGGAAAGACCTTGTAAGTCCTCCCTGAGGTGGTTGGGCACTTTAAAAACTGCCTCCCAAAGGACCATGAGTTGTGTGTGTCATGGGGAGAGTAGTCTAAACAGAGGGTGAGATGTTCCTGAGAGATGCAGAGACAGGAGCCAAACTCCAGGACACCTAGAGCAAGAGAAGAGCCCAGTGGCGCCTGGCTGAGGTGAGGCAAGGTAAGTTGGGCTACGTTGTTAAAGGCCTGAAAGCCAGCAGCAGTCATTCAGGCATGACCTGGTGTACAGGGGAGCCAGGAGGTTTTCCAGCTGTGGGATAATGGGACACGACAGCACATGTGCATTCGCAAAGATTGTCTGGTTGCAGAGGGCAGAGGGTGGGGTGGACACACACGGTGGGTGGGGGAGATCACCTTGGAGCAGGTGTCAGATGGTGGCTTGGAGTTACCACACTGGAAGAGGAGAAAGGCACTGAGGAGGGCGACTTCTGAGAGGTCACTCTCTTTGTTCATGGTTTTCAGGATTCAGACCAGACAAATGACTGTTTTAACATGGGGAGGTGAGCAAAATAGCCAGTCGTCATTGATTTGTTCAGCCCATTTGCAAGATTTGATACTCCAGAAGTGAGTGAGGCAATCCCTGGCCTAAGTGTCCATTATTTCCTGTTGTAGAAATGTGCTTACCCAGTAGCCAGCTCTGCTGGTGGTGGGGACACTCTTGGGGGAAGGCCAGCAGTCCAGAGTGGCCCTGCATGGCTTGCTGTGCTCCTGACCTGAGGGGTTCTCTAGGTGTCCAGCCTGTGCTGAAACCTCTAGACAGTGAGACGCCTTCCCCCACCTGTGGACTCACATTTGTAGACCACATTCAAGAAACTCAGAAACTAGCCTGTCAGGGGAACTGAAATCAGATGCTCCTGCTCCCAGATGATAAATCTGGTTAGTAATTCATGGCAGGAGGTGACACTAGCAGGGACCTAAATACTCAAAAGTGTGTGTAACCAGCAAATTGTCTCCCTGTGGCAGAGCCATACCTGTACAGGAAAGGGAAGCATAATGGGGAGGTTGCTGGATGAGTGCGAAGTCCACCTGAGGGTGTGAATGCGTGCAGCAGCACCGGCCCTAGGCCCCATGCAGCCATCTGGCCTGGTGATGCCCTTGGTGGCACTACGAGAGGACCAGACGCTCCTTGCCTGTTCCCTTCCTTCCCTAGTCTGCACTCAGATTAGGGATGAAAGAGTCACTCTCCACTGCAGAGTGTCAGATGAGCCATGCTTTGTGGCATTTTCATGCCTCCCATCTTTTAAAAAATGACATCAGCCAATTACTGATTAAAAATAGCGGTCAGATAAGTCATAATGGTCTGGGAGACAGTTTGTTTATTTAAAGTAGCTTTATTTAAAGTAGCCTTGAGCTGTTTTTGTGCTGATCACAAAACTGAACTCTACTATTTCCTCTCTTTCTGAACTTTTGGGGAAATCCCTCAAGAGTGGACAACAGTGAGGAGTTTTTGCTGGAGTGTGGTAAGTGCTGAGCTTATTCAGGTGGAGGTGAGCCCAGGATGCTAAGAGATCACCTGACAGGTGCCACCCACCAGGCCAGAGGGTGGAGGTCTGGCCCATGTAGTAGGGTGGTGCTCATCCTCTCCTTGCTCACATTCCCCCATAAAATCCTTACTCCTAAGCCCTCTTGTCCGGTGTGTGCCTTGTTCAGAGTTAATTGAACCATACCAGACAATTGAGCCTGGAGCAGTGGTTCTCAGGTACAGTTCTTGGAGCACCTGCTGAGCACCTCTTTCCTGAGGAAACGGCCTCTGGAGTTGTCCTGCATGGAAAGGAGCATTTTTCACATAAGCACTTGGGGACTCTTCAGTGCACCTGAGTTTGAAAACCACTGCCTGAGAAGAAATCAGATGGCAGCATGCACTTTCAGATTCGGAATTTGGATGGAGGGATGCTGATGAGTCTGTCAGGGCTGGGTGTGTTGGCTGGAGGTGAGGCAGGCGGGGGGCTGGGACAGTGTCTTACTCCCTGTGCATGTTGAAGTGGAGAATATCGGTCTGCTGAAAGGGGCAGGAGAAGGGATCAGACAAGAAGAAAGGAGAGACTGCACACCATGCTGCCCCTGGGAGAGAAGAGTAGCCTCCTCGGTTCCTGATGTCAGAGTCCTCAATCCCAGGCCCCTGTACGTGAGGTAGGTAGAACCAGTCAGGGGCTGGGTCTAGGGGCACCATGGTGAGGGGCCAGAAGTAAGTAAGTGGAGATGGGGCAGGAGCGTGGTGGGTTCTCCCACCCCAGTGGGCTATGGGTCAAAGGGGGCTGCAAGCTTTCTCTCTTTCCTCACACCTTGTCCCAGACACATCCCAGTGTCCTGCATGTGTCCCTGTTCAGTTGTACACTGACCCATGGTTTTTCTGAGTGAAGGCAAAGATCTACCCCACTTGTGATGCACTTCATCTTTACTATGTGTTATGTTAGTTGTTAGATCCGTGCTTTTTTACTGAATCTTAGGAAATAGAATTGTTATAAAATTTCCATCACGCAGACGCCAGTGGCGCCACTGTTACCTAGCAGATGTGGCCACTGTTCTGTGGTTCCAGGTGCCCCCGCTCATGAATGAAATTCCCTCTGCATACAGAAGGCTGTATTTAGGAAAGGCTCCTCAGAGGTTGAAGAGCAGCCAGATGCCCATCAGTGCCTTTATCTGCCCAGCTGTGGGAAAGGCAGCTTTATTACTGGCTCACAGCATTTGGCCCCTCTCCTCCCCATCCCTTGGTCCTCTGGCCCAGAGTCAGGCCAGTTCCTGTGGGCCGTCCCCTGACCTTGGCCAGTACTTGACCAACATTAGGATTCCTGCTCTGGAGAAAGCAAAAGGGAGATGCGAACGTGAGAGGTGTATAAGAGCCCACCTTCAAGCCAGGAAGTGAAGGAGGTGAGTTTTCCCTGTGGCTGGAGCTCAGGGCCAASGAGTCAGAGAGCATGCCACAGGAAGGTGCATGCAGATAGCACTGCAGGATGCCTGGGCATGCCTGGGGGCCTCAGCTCTGAGAGAGGCCTTGACATGGGGACCCCATAGAGGAGAGCGAGGAGCTAAGGAGCATCAGGAGACCCAGCACTAAGGGAAAGGAAGTGGGAATTGAATTCACTTCCACATTGTAGTTGAATGTTTTCTTCCTGGTTGTGAACTTAAAATAGTATTCTAAAAAGATAGGGGGAAAGGTTTCTTTTACTAATCACCTATTTGTCTAATAGATTTCCCCATTTTGTGACTAGCCTTATGGAAGCTTATATGGCCATTGTCTTCTGTGTCAGTGGCTCTGTGACTGTAGCTCTATGTGAGAGTGTGTCATCTGTCACACCTTTCACATCTAGGCGTTCTCTCTGTTTTGCCCTCCGAAGAGCACTAGATCCCTTTATGTGGACATTGCCATCACTTTCTGTATGCAAATAATGAGCTATATATGCAGTAAGAACAACACGTCTAGGTTTATAAGGTTAGTAATACAACATAGCAGACCAGTGGGTGTGGCTTGCAATTTCTACATTGAATATTTTGCAGGTGCTTGAGTTTTGTGTTAGAATCGGGAAGTAAAGCTGTAAGTTTTCTTGAAACATGACTTAACAATTAGGTAACATCAGGGTAGAAACTTCTGCTTGTTCCTTGTTAATGAAATTAACATTCCTCCCAGGAGGAATGCTGAGTTTGGGTGCAGTGGCTTGATGTAGTTAGAATAGGGTGTGCTTGTCTCTACCTGAGTGACTTGAGCTTCCAGAGTGTGCAGTTGCAATGCAGCGTTCTCTGGGGAGGACTGACACAGCTCTTGTTTTATTGGTCTCTGCCACTGTCAGAGGCTGATCTCCCTTGGAAGTGTACACTTGGGAGGGGGGTCAAGCAGGCATGGTCTACTGTGGTCTCTGCTGTGGTAGGCTACCCTTTACCATTTAGGCCTAAGAGAGATCCCAGCTTCTGTTTAAGTAGGTAGTCCTTCTCCTGATTTAAGACGCTCCTCTGCTCTACACTGGATCTGCACGAGTAGCTCTAGACCCTGTCAGGTCCTGGTGAGTAGTCAGTCCTTCTCCTGATTTAAGACCCTGTTGGTCTTAAATGGTCCACTGGTCCTCACACCACACCTTGGTGTTGGAGAGAACTTGGCTTCCATGTGTTTGGGTCACCTTTCCAACAGACTCCCACCCCACAGACCTTCTTACATAGAGTCATGTTGATATTTCTGTGTATACTCTTCCAGGAGAGCTGGGTCACATGTCTGTCAAGACTCCTTACCAGAAGGAGAGTCACCTTTTTTGCCGCTGTTTGTTTTTACAGTTTATATACATCTTGTCCACTTAGGATCCACTTGGTGTCCTTCTGTAAGTTCTTAAGGGTGTTTGTTTTAGTTCTTAAGGTTTTGTCTGGAGTTCCAAATGCTTTGTTATATGTTTATGAGAATTTTTTTTTCTACTCTTAATGTAGATTTTCCTACCTTGCTGTCCTTCTGGTATGGGTTTTCAGTTCAGAATAATGCTTTTTCCACATCCGCCCTTTTCCTAGGACTTCTGAGAAGATGTTGATAGTGGTTGTGGTGGGGGCATTGCTCCCCATCATAACCATCTCGGAGAGTAACTTAGTGTTTGATGCTGCACTTGCTTGCACTTCCTTAAGTTGACCACTGGCTGAGAGTGTATGAGGAAGGACTGACGAAGTTATCAACAAGTAACTTTGTAACTTGTACTGGCTGCTCGTGGGCCCCCCAACCCATTATGAATAGCAGTGTACCCTTGTAGGACATCATCCTCCTATTGTGGAATAGCCTTTCATGAGTTATTTCTCAGACTTTGCTTGATGGAATTTATTAAGTGTTTTTGCATCTAAATGCAAAAAAAATATGTTTATTGAACAGTTTCTATAAGAATACTAGGATGAAAAAGGCAACAGATGCCTTCGGGGACCTGTGGGCAGGGTATGGGTAGAGTGCCCTGTTGGGGTCAAACATAGTCCAGCACATCTCTAATTACTTGGGTGCCTTTCTAGACCATTGTTGGGCAGACTCCTTCCTTAGCCTTAACGTTTCCTTCACTGATATTAGACAAACCTGGAGACTTTCTTCCCCTCAGCCACCTGCAAACACATATCTTCTGTTTTCTTCAGTGGTAGGCGTGGCTGTTGCCATGGAGGAGCTGTCCTGGGGAAGTGGGGGCCGAGTGGGTAGAGCAGTTATGCTTTTGATTGGCCAGACTCGCTGTCCCAGGAAGAGGTCACCTGGCATCTGGTCTGCCCCAGCGAGGGTGAGGTGAGTACGGGGCCCTGGCCGGCACTGACGCCATGTCAGACTCCACTGCTGGTTGCCTCTGGGCTGTCAGTGGAGGACAGGGTGAGTCAGGGGTAGGGTTGGGCCCCTCGGCCAGGAGGGTCGCTGCCCCTTTTGCATGCGGCCCACCTGGGCTCAGGTAGCCCTGCAGGAGGATGCCTGCCAGTGCTGTCCGCCCTGACTCTGGCCCCAGGTGTTAGGACTGCAGCCAGGCAGCTTCTGCGCTCTAGCAAAGCACGCCTCTCTGCTCCTGGCCTGTCCCTCCCACTGCCCCACATGCCGTTCTGCACCCAGAGCCTTGCCTCTTATAACTAGTTGTACATCAAAGGGTTTAACTGTAATTTGCAGCTGACTGTTTTAGATTCTTTTCTTATTACTATTTTATTTACTTGTCTTATCTTTGTCTTTAGATAAGAGACTTGCTCGTTCAAAGGGAAGAGACAGTTTTAATGTCTTTAAACAGAGGCCAAATTGGCATCCAGAATGCAGTTTGCTCCTGCACTGGCCAGCTGCTCCCTACTCTCTCCAGCATCAGTTTTTATCTTTTAAAATTTGCCCATTTGGCAGGTCAAAAAGATGTTCATTGTAATATTTATGTTTCTCTGATTTTTGATGTTAAATACTGGCTTTTAGCATCACTGATTTTATGAACTATGTATTAGTTTATTTTCACATTGGGCTGGTTACCTTTTTTTTTTTTAAAAAAATTATTTTTTTAATTGTAGTTGGACACAATACCTTTATTTTATTTGTTTGTTTTTATGTGGTGTGGGGGATCGAACCTAGTGCCTCATGCATGCTAGGCAAGCGCCCTACCACTGAGCCACAGCCCCAGCCCCTTACTTATTTATTTTTATGTGGTGCTGAGGATCGAACCCAGGGCCTTGCCTGTGCTAGGCAAGCGCTCTACCGATGAGTCACAACTCCAGCCCCTGGTTACCTTTTTCTTAATGCTAAAAACCTTTTACCTTCTAAATATTAACTAGTATCTGTGTTGCAGATTGTTCTTCCCCTCCATTTCTGGTTGATTTTTACAGTACAGAAAAACTTATACCCATCTTTATTTTCATTTTTCCATATGGTGGTCTCTGCTGTTCTAATTGAGCTCGAGCACACTCTCACCTGTCCCCTTTCCTATTGTGCAAGCAGTGCTTCTGTGAACACACTTTTGAACAGTTTACCCTGGGGCACCTGGGCAGATCTGAGTTAGATTTCAGAAGTGGAATCACTATTGTAGAGGATGGCATTATATTTATGTACAGGTAATTGGGGGGTGTGATTGAGAGGTGCGTTCAAATTGCAACTACAATTTCCATAAGAGTTTATTGGGTCCAGGAGGTTTCAGAGTTGATTCTTATGGGTTTTCCAGATTACCTGTCATATCCTCTGCAGATAGCCAGATCAGGGAGGGACCTTGAACTCAGGCGTGGGTGGTATGGCARAGGAGGGAAGGAAAGGCTGGGTTCAGCCTCCAGGCAAAGGTGTTAAGGCTGCCCATACCCCTCAGCAGGCAGCCCAGTCTCTGAGGGCCTCAGGAGTCGGCAGTCTGCTTTTGTTTATTTTGTTTTAACTCTGAATTTATTTTTTTGAATAGGTAATACATGCTCATGGTAAAAAATAAAAATAAAAACTAAAAACAAAAGGAGACTATACAATGAAAAAGTAAGTTCCTCTCCCTTTGCTGGCCCCCAGTCCCTTTCCCCAGAGGCAATCACATCAGTCATCATTAATAGCTTCTTAAAATCCCTCTAGGAACTGTCTGTGTAAACACTTCTGTTTTCATAGTTTATTAGAATGTTATAAACATCGTTATCATCTCATACCCATTTATTCAGAGGTGCCTTGTTATTTTAAGAGGTTTCATAATAATTCATTGTATAAATAGACCATATCTGTTAGCAACACTTCAATGAACATATTCTTGCACATGTGTCATTATGTATCTCTGGGATAAATTCATTGAAGTACAATTTATGGGACAGGATATGTGCACTTTCAATTGTGGCAAAGTCAGTCACCACAGCAGTGTATGAGTATGAGTGTCTCTTTACCTGCACATGGATGTACAGGGTCCATTTGTGATCATCCTGTTCCTAAGCCGCCATACAATGCCCCCCCACACACACTTTTTTTTTTTTTTTTTTTTTACTCTCAAATGAGTTTTCTCTGCATTGTAGGTGTAGGAAAATGTGGCTAAGGTCTTTTAAAGGTTTTCATTTAAAATCATCTTTCATTGTCCAGGCTCTTATTCAGAGCCTGGTCAGAACACCTCGAGATGTTGACCGGTCCTCTCTGTACCTTGCTCTTGGCCTTCTCAAGGAAACTGTGACAGCGTGGTGGTGCATAGTCCGCCGCCCTCCTGCCACAAGGCACTCGCGGGCAGCCAGGCAGCTGCACTGCTGCTGAGCAAGAAGCCTCCTCTCTCGTCTGTGCTCTGGAGGCATCTCATAATGTGGCAGATGCTTTGTTCATGGAAAGTTTTTTGGGATGCCAGGCATGGTGGTGCAGGCCTGTCATCCCAGCAGCTTGGGAGGCTGGGACAGGAGGATCAAAAGTTTGGGGCCAGCCTCAGCAATTTAGCAAAGCCCTAAGCAATTTAGTGAGACCCTGTCTCAAAAAACAAAAAGAACTGAGGATGTGGCTCAGTGGTTAAGTGCCCCTGGGTTCAATCCCTGGTACCAAAAAAGAAAATTTATTTGGGACGTTGCTCTTAAATCATTTCAACTTTTTAGATTTCTTCTCTTGTGGTCATATTTTCCTCTTCCTGGGTAAGGTTTGATTATTTATATTTTATTTTAAAATGATGATTTCCTATTGAACTTTAAAGCCTATAGTTCTTACAAGTGTTTTTCACCAGGGCTTCATGCTGCAGACACCTGCCCTGGGGGGAGCTTCCTAATGCAGAAGTGCATGTGTAGATCACAGGGAGGGAAGGCCGCCTCCCTCTCTCAGGGGCCCCTCTGCCGATGCGAGGGAGTCAGGTGTGCCTTCCTTAGTGTTGTCTTTGTCTTGGGCTTAGAAACTCTAGTTTCATAAAGACAATTGGCAGTTTTCTGCTCCTCATCTCCGGCTTGATTTACGTGGCATGGAAATGGCCTTTTCCTGAAGACCTGTAGGGCCTCACCCCCGCACTGTACCAGTCCCCAGCCATTGGGGATCGACTTCTCTGATACTCCTTTCAGACTCTTCCTGTTCTCTTAGTCCATGTATCTCTTTCTTTAAAATGTCTGCAGGTACCTTCGTTTTGACTCAGTTCCTGTGGATAGCTGCTTGGTCTGACGTTCCAGAAAGGATCCTGTTTCCTGACAGGTGACTGCATACTAAGGGCGTCTTGTCACCCAGGAGTGGAGGCCCATGTCATCTAGTGCACCAGAGTGTCCTCTGAGTCTTGGGTGCCGCAGAGCAGGCTTGGGTCCTCTGCCCTCGCCTTTCTTCCTCCCAGGCAGAGGACTCTGCTCACAGCTGGTCCTGGGTGATATTGGCCAACCCCTCACGTTAGAGATGCCACACCAGCTCTCAGGAGCCCAGACGCAGGCCTGTTCCCTTCGCTTACCTAGCAGGTGTTACCTGTGATTCTCTCTGTATCTTGATGCTCCTGAAAGAGGGCAGGGAAGGAGTAGCCATGTTGCCAGGCTCTCCAGCACTGGGGCCCATATGCGGTGGGTGGTGCCCTGTGTGCCCCCATAAGATGCTAATACCAAAGGATAAGAATGGGGGTTTGTGGAGGAGGAAGGGAGCCCATCACTGTGAGGGAGAGGCACAAGTTCACTGAGGTCAGCACATGGATTTCCAAGTGACAGAGTCTGGTTAGAGACTGAATAATTGAAACATTCTCAGATTTCCTTTAGACCTTTTTTTAAATCTTATTGAGATATGATATTTGTACATCTTTATTGGGTGCTAGTTCTCTTTTTTTTTAATTGAAAAACATTTTTAAGCTTTATTTACTTTCTTTTCAAAACAAAGGTAGAGTAGAGCCTTTTTGCTGCAGATGGTCTTGTGCTTCTCTGGAAGTAAAGCTGGAAGCCCAAAACTCTCAGGTGTTGTGCAGGCCCCCAACCTCTTGATGCTGCTGTGCTTCCTTGCCCCAGTGGTGCTGGCCAGAAAATAAAGGGCTACATCATGAAACTTAGGTGGCAGCAGAAGATGACTTGAGTAAAATAAAGTGCAAAGTCTTACTCAATTATGTTACGAAAGAAAGATTGAAAAATCAACATTTACATCCAGCCTAAAAAGTTTAAAAATGCAAGAGGGGCAGAAAATAAAGACAAGTAAATAATTGAATTAAGTAAGAGACAAGAGGGTCATCCAAATAGGAAGCGGATCCTTGGGGACAGACTAGGCCTTGGACCAGTTAGATGGAGACAAGTCTGCCGCCTGGGCCTTGTCTGGGGTCTCCCACATCGAACCCCACTTCCCCAGGGTGCCAGGCTCTGTGGCAGGAAAGCCCCCTGCACACCACCAGGGTGACACGCGTGTGTGAGTGGTACGGCCCCGAGGTGAGAGGGACGGGGCCAGTGAGGCCTGGTGGCTTCCCAGCATGCTCTTCTGGAAACAGTGGCACAGAAGTCCACCCAGGATGTCCCCGGCCCCCCTCGACACTCACACCCTGCTGCTGCTGGCGTGGGTGAAGATTGTGTGTCTGCATCCAACACTTGATTCTAAAGTGGAACTTCATATGTCACGTCCCGCACGCCACTGCAGTGTCAGCTCTGACCGGGCAGTGGCGCGCACAGGGTGGGCTTGGCCTCCACCCCTCTTACTTGAGTTCTCACTTGACTGCTAGAAGACAGGCACACACACCAGAGAATACCTGAGATGATCCCGACCTGTGTGTGAGACACTTGATGGACAGAGGGCATGTCAGGGAAGACGTCTGAGGGAGTGGACTTGGCATGGGCTCAAGGGCTGCGTCTGGGGCCCGGTGGCCCTCAGAAGGGTGTTCACTGTGAGGGAAGGCGCCCTGGGGGGACTTCCCTGGTGATGTGCCAGCCAGCCTCCTGCACTCCCTGCCCTACGTGCAGCCAGGAGCCCTGGGCTGCCTCCCGCGGCAGCACCGTGCAGAGGCGTTCGTGGCTCAGGGAAGGGAACCCAGTCATTCGCCACTACTTCACCTGCCGCGAGGACTTCGGCATTTGTGTGCTCCTCCATCTTTCACACGTGGTATCCTGAGTCGGTTGTGGTGTTAGGGCAAGAAATGCACAGACAAGGCAAGCTTGGCCCCCTTCTCCTGTCCCTCCTGGTCTGGATGGGACGCTGACCTCTTGTTCGGCCTGGACTGTGAGCAGTGCCCACAGGCTTTGCACTAGGCAGCTCAGCCTTCCAGGTGTCTCAGCTCACTTCAGCTTCACCTTCTGACAGGGTTGGGACCTGTTCCTCCATCCCACAGACCACACAGACTGCCTCCATCACATAACCCCCGGTGACAGGGAGCCTCTCAGAAATAGGTCCTGTCTCACCTGCTGAGCCGAGGCCGTTTTCTGTCTACAGGGACACTGCCCATCCCGACGCAGTGCTGATGCGAGTGGGAACGCAGCCTGGCACTGCCACCCATCCTGGGCTGCTGAGCTGTGGGCRTCCTCAGTGTCCACAGGCCCCTGGGACCAACTGTCTCAGGCTGCCAGGTCTTTCCTGTTGACTTTCACTTGGTTCCTCCAGTGAGAACCTATTCAGAGAAACGCTGTGTTCAAAGCACTTGGTCAACACCAAATCTGAGAGTCCCGGGCCCTATCTGTGAGCTAGACAGTGACATGACTGGAGGCCTATGCTGTTCCAGGAGGAGGCCCAGCAGACTCTGAATGCCTTCATTGAGTTCTGGAACTTTCTCTGTGTGGAAGGCACAGGGCCTCACAGGCTCAATCACAGTCTGACACCTCTGCTTCAATTGGTTGCAGCCAGAGACCCGCACCAGGGAGACCATCGAGTTCTGGGTCCTGAGCACCACCTGGCCATCAGCCCTAAGGAGTGCCAGCCTTGGGTCCGAGAGAGACCAGAGAACTGCCAGGCACCGCCCTGTGCTAGAGCACTGCAAGGAGATGCACCAGCCCGACGGTGAGGGCCTTTAGGGGAGGCTGGTGGGCACGACCAAGGGCTGCCGTGGCTCCGCCTGGCCCAGCTGTAGCCGTCTGAGCTGTTCACTCTCTGTCTGGGGGCAGGGTGAGGGGCCATCCTGTGCACGCTGGGATGAGCCTCATCCGTGACCACCTCCCACTGAGTGTGACCCCCCAGATGTGTCTTCATGCTTAGCCCAGTGTCCCCTGTGGGACAGACAGCCACTAGCTCAGCGCTGCCACTTGAGTCAGCAGAAGGAGGAGGAGTGCCATTAGGCAGAGAGCCTGCAGGACCCACGCCTTGTGGCCTGGTACTCCAGGAAGAGCCTGTTGCTGGCTCTTCTCTGGAGTGAAGGAGGTGGGTGCAGCCCTACTCGCCACGAGATCTTCAAGTGGCAGAAGTGGCTGGAAGCCACCGAGGGCTCTGAGCTACTCATGGGAGAGGGGCAGAGGGCTGGGGGCTGCTGCGAGAGTGTGGCCAGAGGTGACGGCTCGCTGAGCTGGCATCCGTGTCCTCTCAGACGACAGCAGCAGCGACATGACCAGTGACGATGAGATGAGCCCCAACAGAGGAGCCCCACCACCTAGACCAGGCCGCTCGTCCAGCAGTGAGTCGCCACCCACCAGTCCCAACACCCTGGGTTTGTCTGCCAGGAATGCCCACCTGCAGGCAGAGACCTTACGGCCCCCAAGGAGACGGCCAGTGTGCCAGCCTGTGGGGTTGGCATCACTTGGGTCTGAGGAGAGGGAGGCGGTTGGGACATGTGATGTGACAGCAACAGCAGATGGTGTGAAATGTGGGGTTCTAACAACAGTGAAGCACTGAAAGCTGTGTGGAGGCGGTGCGAGCAGTCCCAGCCTCCCGGGGAGGTGTGCAGAAGGGAGCACTGCTCTCAGGGAGGGCGTGGTCTTGGGTCTTGTTCCTTGCAGCACAGCAGTGTGCACTTTTGAGTTCAGCTGGCCTGAGCAGGCTGAGCACGTCTGTGGCCCGTTTCCTGGGTTTGGACCTGACCACTGAGGAACGGAATTAGGAACACATCCCAGGGTCTGGGGGGAGCTGGCTCTGGTGAGCTTTGGGACCTGCTTTAAATGAGCCATACTTGGGCCAGACTTCAGAGCCCATGTTGCAGGTATTGGGTGGGGATCATGCTAGGGTCCCAAGCCCTCCATACAGGGCCGTCTCCTCAAGGGAGAGGCAAGGCGTGTGTGTGTGTGTGTGTGTGTGTGTGTGTGTGTGTGTGAAGGGAGCACAGGTGTGTCCCAGCACTTCATGAGCTACCACAACATCTGGCTGCCTAGGTGACCGGGAGCGGGAATGGGACCGGAGGGGCCGGAGCCGAGACACGGAGCCTCGAGACCGCTGGTTGTACACCAGGAGCCCTAGAAGCAGTAAGTCCCCGGGGTCTGCACGCCAGTATCTGTGCCAGGGCCTCAGGAAGGCCATGCTGCTTGGTGTGGACTGTGTCCTGGTTCCTCCAGAGTTGAGTCCAGGCCCCGTGTCTGAAGCTCCTCTGCAGTCTTTGCCTTGTGCACCTATCTCCATCTCTGTTACTCTTTGCTCAGTATTTTTCTTAAGCTGGCATATGTTTTTAAGAAGCTAACAGTGTCTCCGTAAAGACTGTTGGAAAGATTGGAAGTAGGAGACACCTTAGAAAGAAGGTGTGATCGTGAAAGACAGACATGCTGTAGCAGCGCAGCTGCCTGGCAAGCCCTCTGTGGCCTGGTGTAGGTGTGGGATGCTCCTCCATGTGCCAGGCCTGAGACCTCCCTGTGAGTTAGGAGAGCGTTAGGAACTAACAGACATGCTGATGAACTGTTGGTGTCCATATCACCAGAAATCATCTCTTGTTCCTCACTGGCAGTAGGGCACCCTGAAACTGCCACCAGGGAATAATGTGATTGACATCTGCCAGGAGTTCATGATGTCTGGATGAGCCTGAAACATGGCAGCCCCAGCTGAGGAGACTGACAGGGCTGGGGGGTGTCCTGCCCAGACCAGGCAGCTTGAGGCCTGACCTCCACTGCCTGAGACAAGGGACAGAAGGATGAGGCTGCTGTGTTGTGGCAGTCAAGGGGCATTGCCATAGGAGGCGGAGAAGAGACAGACACTGGCACACACACTCCGGGTGGGCCGGGAGCTCGGGGGCAGACCTGAGTTCCGCCAGGTGGGCTGGGCCTTGTTCCTTCCTGACGCCTTTTTCTTTCTAGGGCTGCCTCAGCGGGATCTTTCCCTTCCTGTGATGGCGAAAAGAAGATTTGGAATTGAAAGAGATGACAGGGACTCAATGGATTATGAGTCCCGCTCCCAGGTACGCTCAGTGTTCCTCTTTCCAGAAAAGTGTCTTCATTTCATGGCAGAAATGCCTTTCCTACCCCAGATAACGTGCTAATCTGCCCCCTAGAGCCCACTGACAGCCAGGAGCCCCCAGTTACTCCCAAAGGCACCTGGGTCTGTCCCAGTGCAGGACAAGTGACTGAGGTCACTGCTACCTGTTTTCTCATTCCTCATTCACCCATGTGGTCCCAGGAGCCCTTGCCCTCAGAGAGTGTGTGCTACTTGATAGGTTGGTCACTGAGGCCCCTCCCTGTGGCCAGAGAGCAGAGTGATTCTGTAGGAAGGCCGGGCCAGAAAGCTGTGCCTCTACAGAGCACGGGCAGCGCAAGCCGTGGCTCTGGAGCTGATGAGAACAGAGTTCAAAGATGGCCCTGCCACCTGCCAGCCATGTGGTCCTGGGCTGTTGACTCAGCTAAGCTGAACCTCAGTTTCCTCACCTGTAAAGTGGATGTGGTGTCTGTCTCCTAGCACCCTGGTGTGGAGTCAGGTGATGCCCTGCGTGTGCCGTGCACCTTGTGCCCCTGGCTCCTGGCTGTGCACTGTGCTGACTGCTGTGGTGGTCACTGGCTCGAGGCGCTGTTTGCAAGGGTAGGAGAAGGGACCTGGGTGTGAGCTGGCCCTGAGGAAGGAGTCTGACAGAGAGGAGAGACAGCAGCTGAGCCTTCATCCCTTCATAGCTAGGCCTCCCAGCAGACTAGAGGCCCCGGCCCTGGGCAGCACAGCGGCCACTGAGACATAGGTCCTGCCCTGACAGTCCCACAGAGACACGTGCTCACACACGTTGTGTAACCGCAGAGTGCAGCAGCCTAGCGCTGACTGGCGCCTACTGAACGCAGTGAAACTGCAGCAGCAGGTGACACAGATGGACTTTTAGGGTATATAACACAGAAGATTCTCTCAGGACCTTTTAATCCCAGGTGTATTCCTTCAGTTGTCCCCTGTACAGGTCCTGTTGTGAAGACAGCATTGTGCTGTGCCAGCGTTACGCCAGCACCTCTCCTCCAGGGGACGTGACCACAGCTTGTGTGCATTTAGACACCATTGTTGGTCACAGCACAAAGTGAACAGCTGCTTGAGGGCCTGCCACTGTGCTGATGACTTAATCCCAAGTCAGAGCATCTTTTTTTTTTTTTTTCATCAAAGCAGTACAGTTGAGAATTTAATGCACATTTATTTTATTCAAATTAGGCAGATAGAGAAATATAAAAAAAGTCTATCCTCCTGGCTCTGGGCTCTGCCTTCTCCAGGGGGGGACCCTTGGCCTCTCATTTTTCTCTCTGCTAGACTCCACGTTGTGTAGTCTGTTTCCTCTCTGTCACTAAAACACGTCTGTGGGCCCCTTGCTCTTCCTTTTGCAGGAAGAGTGAGTGCAGCAGCACCTTTGCCAGGCTGAAGGTGCAGACCTGTGCCCGTGAGCTTTCTGCAGGAGACCCCAGAAGGGCAGTGTCAAAGGCAGACTCTGCTTCTGCAGAGGCGGCTGTCTCAGTGTTGCAAGGTCTCCTGGGTTTTTGTGGCTTGTTTATTGTCCTGGAAACCCTAAGCCCCAACTTGAGGTTTGGTCCTGAAGCCTGCTTCGCAGCCTTGCCCTGCCTAGTTTTCCTTACTGTCATGCTTGCTTTCTAACAGACACTGGTTGTCACTTATGTGAGGCTCCCCCTCAGAGCCAGATCCTGTGCCCTGCTCTCAGTAGGAGATGCACCTTGCTCTGCAAACCTCATCTTTTTGGGCCACTTTTCCCATGTTTCTATAACATCCAATGTCTCTTCCCAGCAATAGAACTACAGTAAATTTATTCTCAAAACTTCTTTATTTTCTTTACATACTTTTTCTTTATTCAGACAACACATTACATTTCAGAAGATCCTCACCCCCAGTGTTGTAAGACAAATAGATGCTCTTCTCCCAGTTTTACACTGAAGAACCTGAGGGTCAGGAATTGAGTGTCCAAGGTTGCCAACTCATGCAGGGTACAGGCCTCCTTTGACCCAACAGTTTTCTCCAGCTCCAAAGCCTTGGACTTCCCACAGCACCGTCTTCCTCTTAAATCTCTGCAGGTCTCAGTGCCATCCTCCCTCTGGCAACTAGCAGAGGTCCCTAGGATCCTGCAGAGAAGGTTCTCCTGAGTACTGTAGGGATTTAAAATTTTTAGGGTAATAGCTACTAAAACAAAGAGGATAGGACCTCAGTGCCTGTGGGTGTTGCTGGGTCATGTGGAAACCCTGCACACTAGAACCCTGTGTTGTAGCCATAACCTGCAGTGGAGGAACTGGGAGGGGAGTTTAAATCGCACTTTCGTCATGACCAGATGTCTGCTTGAAAGCGTCTTCCTTCTGCTCCCAGAGTACACATGCGGGTTTGCTGTTTAGCCTGTTGGGCTTTCCCACCAGTCCCCCTCTGCACATGCTGTACTCTCACACACCACTGAAGGCCCCCTGTGAGGACCTCTGCTCACTGTTCAGGCCTGCCCTGAACTTTCCCTCCACAAAGTCTACTTAGCATTTATTATCTGTACCCCAATTTACTGTTTATTGTTCTCTAATTGTTTCATGAGTCTTTTCTTTCCAACCAAATTATAAGCTGCATGAGGGCAAGGAATATGTGTCATGCGTCTTTGGGATCTGCCTCAGAGTGTAGCACCAAGGTAGGTACGATGTAGGCCCCTAGTAACGCTTGACTTGGATCACTCAGACCCCCAATACTGTGAGCACTTCCTGTATAACTTCATATATGTAGCTCCCATGTCGCCAGCATTATTCTCTTTTGGGACATCCATGCGGATAGACCCTATTGAGAGGTCTGTGCTTGTTCTTTTAGGATGCGGAATCATACCAGAATGTCGTGAACCTCAATCAGGACAGGAAACCTCAGAACCCAGTCCAGGACAACATGGAGAACTACAGGAAGTTGCTCTCCCTGGGTAGGGAGCTGCTTCTCTTACTCTCAGTCTGGTCATTGGGCCACTTTGTCACTACGATTGTTTCAAGTTGCAGGATGAGTCCACACTAACATAGTTGGACTTCAAGGGTAATAAGAAGCCTTTGAATCTCTTGACTTTGGTCGAAGAATAGCTTGTACAGGTGGTTGTGATCAAGGAGATGGCTCTTGACACAGAGTTAATATTTTTTTCTATGACAGCAGAGATTTTTAAAAACACATTTAGAATGGGTCTTGAGTTTCTGTGTGAACTCCACCCGAAGAACATCTAGCCCCAGTTGGTAGCAGACAGTGGGTGGTATAGGCCTGATGTTAGAGAGCAGGTAGGGAAGGACTATCAAAAAGGAGGAGGAAGGGGGCTGGGCTGGGGCTCAGTGGCAGAGCGCCTGCCTAGCATGCCTGAGGCACTGGACTCGATCCTCAGCACCACATAAAAATAAAAGGCATTCTGTACACCTACAACCACAAAAAAACAAAAAAAGGAGGGAGGGCTGGGGATGTGGCTCAGTTGGTAGGGTGCTTGCCTCGCATGCACAAGGCCCTGGGTTCAATCCCCAGCTCCACAAAAAATGAGGAGGAGGACTGGCCGTGAAGGGCAGTGAAAGAGAGAGTGACAAGAACTGAAGACTATAAGAGGTGCACCAAGTTCCCAGGCACATGAAGTCTTTTACACATTTTTGGGTGTCATTAAGAGAATTAAAATGCAGAATGGAATATGTTAGGGAATGGATGGTAGGAAAATGCGTCAGTAAATGAAAGATAGTCAAATAATTAGAAGTGAGCTACTTTATATTTAGTAGCTCAGAGGAAAATGAAAATCAATTTATGGTGATGAGTCTTATTCCCCAACTCCAATTTGAGCTGTTGCACTCTTGTGACCAGGGGTACAACTTGCTGAAGATGACCGCCATTCCCACATGACCCAAGGCCACTCATCAAGGTCCAGGAGAAGTGTCTACCCAAGCACCAGCCGAGGTAAGCCCCAGGCTGATCCTACAGAGGAGCCACCTAGCCATGAGACACATTCCCAGGCGTCGCAGCAGAGTGCTCTCCTCCAGCTCCTGTGGTCACCTTGTGCAAGTACATGGGCTAGGGAGTATTTATGTTTGGGGTTTATTTCCAGGTCTGAAAACCATGCCTGAAGCCAAGAAGCCCTCTCACCGGCGCGGAATTTGTGAGGACGAATCTTGCCATGGAGTGATAATGGAGAAGTTCATCAAGGATGTGTCACGTGGCCCCAGATCAGGAAGAGCAAGGGAGCCTGAGGAGCGGCCACAGAGGCTCCCCAGAATGCCAGATGATAACTGGAAGGATGCTGCCTTCAGCAGGAGGGAGTCAGTGATCCAGGAGAGGGGTTCTGAAGGGAGTGCCTTCAGGGGGGGCTTCAGGTTCAACTCAAGCCTTGTTTCCAGAAAGAGAGTTCTGGAAAGAAAAAGGCGCTATCATTTTGACACAGTCCATGATCATAATGGCTGTGTCAGAAAGAAGCCCTTTGACTGTGGCAGTGAGATGAGAAAGGCCATGAGCATGAGTAGCCTAAGTGGCCTCGGCTCCTCCTCCTATTCCGAGTCACAGTCAGTGGACTTTGCGTCCATGGCGTATGTGTGTGATGAGTGTGGGCGGTCATTCAATGTCATCTCAGAGTTTGTTGAGCACCAGATCATGCACACCAGAGAGAACCTCTATGAATATGGGGAGTCCTTCATTCACAGTGTGGCAGTCAGTGAGGTTCAGAAAGGTCAGGTTGGAGGGAAACGCTTCGAGTGTAAGGAGTGTGGGGAAACCTTCAATAAGAGTGCCGCGCTGGCTGAGCATCGGAAGATCCACGCTAGAGAGTGCCGTGCAGAGCGCAGGGAGCAGGAGCACGAGGAGACCGTCATGCCTAGCCCAACCTTCAGTGAGCTTCAGAAGATATATGGCAAAGACAAATTCTATGAGTGCAGGGTTTGTAAGGAAACCTTCCTTCATAGTTCTGCCCTGATTGAGCACCAGAAAATCCACAACAGAGGGAATTTTGGAGAAGACAAAGATAATGAGCGTGAGCCTGAGCGCGAGCGTGAACATCGGGAAATTTTCATGCCCAACGCAGCCCTGAATGAATTTCAGAAAATGTATAATAAGGAGAAAATCTATGAGTGTAAGGTTTGTGGGGAGACCTTCCTTCATAGCTCATCCCTGAAGGAACATCAGAAAGTTCACACCAGAGGAAACCCATTTGAAAACAGAAGCAAAGTGTGTGAGGAAACCTTTATTCCTGGTCAGTCCCTTAAAAGACGTCAGAAGACTTACACCAAGGAGAAGCTCTTTGCCTTCGCAGATGGCAGGGATGCCTTTATGCAAAGCTCCGATCTCAGCGAGCGTCAGAAAATCCATGCTCGGAAGAACTTCTTTGAAAGCAGGGCATATGAGAAATCTGTCATTCACAGCACCCCCTTCACCGAGTCTCAGAAGAGTCACACTATAACAAGACCCCCTGAAGATGAGGAGGATGAGAAGGCCTTCACCATCAGCAGCAACCCTGATGAAGACCAGCGGGTGTCCTCCACAGGGCGATTCTACAAGAGGTCTGTGATCCACAGCTTTACCCCTGCTGAGACTCTGAGAAGTCACAGCGTCGCAGGGCCCAGTCAACTAAAAGCAGTCGCAGAGTCCACCATTCAGAGCTCAGCTGCCGCTAGGAGCGCCTATGAAGGGAAGGAGCAGAAGAGGTCTGTCATCCATAGCCTGGCTGCTCCCAGACCCCTGAAACGTCACAGTGGAAATGGGCAAAATGAATGTGATGAGAAGGGAGAATCCTCCATTTATATCTCAGACCTTAATAATAAGCGACGGAAGATTGCTGCCAGAGAGAACCCTTCTGAAGCGGGTAAGAATAACAACTATAAGGATTCTGTTATGCCAAGTGTATCTCATGCTGAACCTCCAAGAAGTCTCGCTGGAGAGGGATCCAGTGAATTCAAGCAAGATGCCAAATTTTCTCTTCCCAGCCCCAGCTCAAATGTCCGTGAACACCAGAAGGCACGTGCTAAAAAGAAGTACATCGAACACAGGGGCAACGAGACCTCTGTAATCCATTCCCTACATTTTGGTGAACTGCAAACAGTTCGCCCTAGAGAGAAGCTGTATGAATGTCAGGAATGTGGGGAGTGCTTTGCTCGTAGCTCTGACCTCACTGAGCACCAGAAGATTCACAATAGAGAGAAGCCCTCTGGAAGTAGAATTTATGAGCGATCTGTCATTCGCAGCTTGGCCCCTACTGACCCTCAGACGAGTTATGCCCAAGAGCGCTATGCTGAAGAGCAAGCACGCTACAAACGCAGAGAGTTGGGGCAGAGCTCTGCTTTCAGCAGCTTCTTCCGTGCGCGTCTGAACATCTACACCCAAGAAAAGTCCTCTGGCAAGGCCACCCGAGGTCAGGAGCCCCACAGCAGAGAGACCCGTGCCCGGGAGCCCCAGAGAGAGGAAACTCATGCTTGGGAGCCCCGTGGCAAGAAGACCCGTGCTCAGGAGCCCCGTGGAGAGGAAACTTGTGCTTGGAAGCCCCATGGCGGGGAGACCCATGCTCAGGAGCCCCACAGAGAGGAAACTCCTGCCCAGGAGCCCTATGGCAAGGAGATCTGTGCTCAGAAGCCCCGTGGAGAAGAAACTCCTGCTCAGAAGCCCCACAGAGAGGAAACTCCTGCCCAGGAGCCCCAGGGTGAAGAGACCCGTGGTCAAGAGCCCCCTGGAGAGGAAACTCATCATCAGGAGACCCAGAGTCAGGAGCCCCACAGTGAGGAGACCCATGGTCAGAAGCCCCATGGCAAGGAGCCCCGTGGCCAGGAGCCCCGTGGCCAGGAGCCCTGTGGTCAAGAGCCCCGTGGTGAAGAGCCCCGTGGTCAGGAGCCCCATGGTGAGGAGCCCCATGGTGTAGAAGCCCATGGTGAGGAGACCCACGATCAGGAGATGGTTGAAGACACTGTCATTCAGGGGTCAGATCTGGAGGAGCGCCAGAAGGATGACCCAGATGACACAATCTACGAATGTCAGGACTGTGGGCTGGGATTTGCAGATCTCACAGATCTCACAGGTCATCAGGATGTCCACATCAGAAAGAGTGTTGACAGTAGCAAAGACACAGAGTCTCAAGTTCACGTCCATTCCATCAATGAGTTTTCGAAGGAGTTCACTGGTGAGCAGCTCTTTGAATGCCCAAAATGTGGGGAATCTTTTATTCATAGCTCCTTCCTTTTTGAGCATCAGAGAATCCATGAGCAAGACCAGCTGTACTCCATGAAGGGATGTGATGATGGTTTTATTTCCCTCTTGCCTGTGAAGCCACGGAGGAATCGTGCTGCGGAGAGGAATCCTGCTCTTGCTGGGTCGGCCATCCGATGCCTTCAGTGTGGACAGGGCTTCATTCATAGCTCTGCTCTCAATGAGCACATGAGACACCACAGGGAGGATGAATTACTGGAGCAGAGCGAGATGGCTGAGGAAGTCCTCATTCATGGCTTCGCCCTCACCGAGTTCCAGGGAAGTGAGACCGAGGAGAAGCTCTTTGAATGCACAATATGTGGAGAGTGCTTCTTCACTGCAAAAGAACTTGGCGATCACCACACCAAGGTCCACAAGGATGAGCCCTATGAATACGGGCCCTCCTACACTCACACTTCATTTCTTGCAGAGCCCTTCAGGAAACCAATGCCATTCTATGAGTGCAAAGATTGTGGGCAGGCCTTTATCCACGACACGGTCCTAACCAAGCACACCGTGTTTCACCCTGAGGAAGAGGAGGAGGAGGAGGAAGAGGAGGAGGAGGAAGAGGAGGAAGAAGAAGCTGCTGCTGCCCAGGAAGTTGAAGCCAATGTCCTCGTTCCACAAGAAATCCTGCGAATTCAAGGGTCAAACATAGAAGCTGCTGAGCCAGAGGTGGAGGTTGCCGAGCCCGAGGTAGAGGCTGCCGAGCCAGAAGTAGAAGCTGCCGAGCCAAATGGAGAGGCCGAAGGGCCAGGAGGAGAGGCCGCAGAGCCCCATGGAGAAGCCGAGCAGCCAATTGTGGATGCAGATGAGCCAGATGGTGTAGGGATTGAAGACCCGGAGGAGGGAGCCCAAGGGCCAGAAGGAGATGCCGACGGGCCTGAGGGCCTAGGAGTGGGAGATCCGGAAGAGGAGGGTGAAGACGAGGAGATTGAGGTGGAAGAGCCCTATGATGGCTACAAGGAGTGCACAGAGACCTTCCCGTGCAGCGCAGCCTTGGGTGGGCCCCTGAAGGCCCAGGCCAGCATGGTCATGCTGGAGCCCGTGGGCGCCCCCGGGGAGTGCTCAGGCTACATCCAGCGTGCCAGCACCAGCACCGGAGGCACCCAGCCAGCCGACGAGAAGCACTTCAGATGTGATGTCTGTGGGCAGCTCTTCAGTGACCGACTGTCCCTTGCCAGGCACCAGAACAGCCACACTGGCTAAGTGTGAAGGTTGGAAAACCTCCACCTAGAACTGGACCCTTACCCAACACAAGACTATGATAATGTCAGTAGGAAACTTACCTTAGCATGTGTACACCTGACTTAACATCAGACAGCTCAGATTAGCCAGACAGTGTGGGTACTCCTTCAGCCTTAGCTCTCCCCGTGAGCATCAGCGTCTGCACGGGGAAAGCTATAGCACATATCTTATGTCTATCCCAGCTACCAGATTGAGTCAACCCGACAGATTGGCCCAATCACCTGTAAATGATGCTCCTATAACCTAAACAGAAGGTTCCCTGCAGTGTATATAAATGAGCAGAACGTAGCAAAATGGGGATCACATGTTTGGATTTAATATGATACACAGTTGCAGTTTACTGTGCAGAGGTATCTCACCTGACACTCTAATTTTTTGTTCTTGGAGGAGGGAGAGAGCAACAAAGTAGAATATATCTGTAAGTGTCTTTGGTCTGAGAAATATTCCTTGTGCATTATTTGAACCCCGTCAGTATCTTTGACTGCTACGTTTCTCACTCCTAATCTCCTGAAGGTGTAGACAGGAAAAGTAACATGTCTTTATTCTTTGCTGTTTGAAAAAAGGAGTGATTTTCGCTTCCTTGTACAGCCATTTCGTCTGCACCAACACCTTGCGACCTGACGCTGTGTGAGCCTTTACAATTTATAGGTTGGCCTTTGTGACCCAGGTCAACCTGTCCCCTTTGTGTGTACCTTGCAGTGGTTCTCGTGCAAAAATATTACAATTTGGGTGTTTTTTTAAAGTGTTTTTTTTAAACCAACATAATGTGTGTTCAGTAGTGAATTTAAAATGTGATGCTTTTCCCCATAAATCCTAAGTCTTTGCCTTTAAAGAATGGGTTGCAACCATCACTAGATCACAGTAGTGCCTAATGAAGGTTGAGAACCACAGGACAGACTTGCTGCTGTACATAAGGAAGCAGGCTGACAACCTTTCATCACTTCTTCTGAATGCTTCCTGCCTTAAGTGACAAGTAGCAACATGGCTTGAGTCACCTATGTGGCATGTGTGCTGCCACAAGTCAGTTTGCTCCCTGGGTGCCCAGGAGCTAGTATCCTTAGATCTTTCTATTGCTTAAACCTAACTCTCTTCTTTACCTGACTCTCTAATCCCATGTCTAACTTGCATTTTAAAAAAATTAAAAAGTGTTTAAAAAAAAAAAAAAAAAAAAAAAAAAAAGCTTCCTTTACAGTTAGCCCAAGCTCAACACGGACTCAGGTTCCCGGCAGCCTTAATTTGTTTTGTTCCCATCTGTTCTTCTCTTCAGGCCTCTAGGCGCTTCTTACCTCTCCATAGTTGTCGTGTCCTCCCATCTCGGTTTTCCTCTTGATCACAAACTGACCTCAGCTTGGGGTCTCCCCTGTCCTGTGCTGTGGACATCCAGTGCTCCTTTGCTTCTCCCCTCGCATAATGGCTATATTAAGAAAATTTTTGGCCTTGAGTTGGCTGAAAAAAAAAACTTTAAAATTTTTAAAAAATTAAAAAAAAAAAGCGGATCTCTAGTTGAAGTAAGCAAAAGACAAGCGCAGATCATTTGAACAAGCAAAATTAAAATATCCACCGAGGGAAACGTATTTGAATCTTACTCTTCTAGATCCGCAGGTCTGGGGCTCCCGGGGAGTGTGTCCAAGCTGCAGGGAATGCCAAAGTCTAGGAGGCTGGAGAGCTGAGAGCAAGAAACAGAATTGAGTAAGCCAAAGAAGGGCATCCTAGCACACCCGCAGACCCAGGAGACAGAGGGAGCGCCAGAGCAGGGGTGAGGATGGGTGGGTGGTGTCCTGGAGGTAGAGTGTGGGAAGCTGCACAGAAAGACCCATAGTCGGAGCAGACATCCAGGGAAACGCCCGTGAGGCATCCCCCAATGAGAGGGCCCTGGACTGGGATCAGTGTGGATGTCATCAGAGTGAATTTGGGGGTTCAGTGCCATAGGCAGTGTGAATCACTAGACCCTTTTCAGAAAGCAACTTGCCAAGAAGGGTGTCTGTTCCAACCTTAACGTGTATGGGAAATTGGAAACTTAAATGCCAAACAGTAGAGTAAGAATTAAGTGAACGTATCTTTGGACTCTTATGCAGCTGTTTAAAAATGATAATCATAAAGAGTTATGTAGCAACATGGAAATATATTTACGGAAGATTAAGTGGAGAAAGCAGGACACAAAATTATATTTATACTACAATTATAACTTTAAAATGTATGCTTATAGTCAAAAGCTGTTGTGTTGTTGTACGCTTATAGTTGAGCATCATTTTCTTAACTTTCTTGAATGTTCTTTATGGTAGTGCTGTTAAAGTTGATGATCACATTTCCATTGTGAACATAATTGGAATTCATCAAACACTTGGAAAAAACAAAGTGGAGGAAAAATTCCATATCCCCACCGTCCAAAGACAGATTCACTCTAAAGCATCCTGTTTATTCTTGTTTCTTTACACAGGTTTATAATTATAACCATGTCAAAACGTGTGTTCAAGATAGCTGTATGGTACCCTTCTGGAATTATGGTTAAATCCTTTTATCTTAATTTTTTCCAGTGTTCCTTTTAATAGTGTCCTGATAACATTTATTGTGTATGTCTACATTATAAGCGTAACATGTACCCAGAGGAGAAATTAGAAAACAGAGCAAAATTGGAAAATAAAAACAATTCACACACACCCCCAGCCCCTGGACTCCACCAGCATCTCGGTCCTTTCCTCCACTTTGTTCCAGTGCACAGCCTGTGGGTGTGATGGTGTTCAATGTGTGTGCATCAAATCAAAAAGTGAAAAAAAATGTGAAAAATAATTAAATTAGTGTTGTCATTGTGGGATTCTGGCTACATATTTTGTCTAAAATTTCTTGAATAATCTTTGGTGTTTTGGTGACAAATTTAATGTATGTATTTTCCCTTTACAAACATAATACATACTCATAGAAAACTGGGAAGTTAGTAAAAGAGAAGGAAATTCACCTGTATTCCTAAGAGTTGCTGCTGCTAACACGTGGGGCTGTGGTCTGGGGGCTCAYGATGCGTCCCGTACGTGTCGGAGACTGGAAGGCAGAGCGGCTGAGAGCTACAGGTGGTTGTGGGGTTACAGGGAAGCGTGCTGCCTCAGTTTCTCTGAGTGGCCTTTGTCAGTGGTCAGTAGTCCCCTTCACCCCCTACGTTCCCATCACCCATGCAGTATGTGTCCACTATAGTGAACTTTGACATTGTGGAAATGTAGAAGAGAAACTCATCCATGTTTCCACCGTCCAACAACTGTGGTCAGCATCTTGATGTGTCCTCATCATCTTCTTTCTTGTGCACAGGTTTTCGGTTTGTTGATATGGTTGTGATCGTTCTATCTGTAATAGTGTCAACAATAAAAATAAAGTTAAAAATAATCATTTCTCAGTCTCTTTTGTCCCTGTCAAGAGTTTGCTAAGGTGTGCTTTTTGCTAAAGTTATAAATTCAGACACTTTGTACCTCATTTGGCTTGCAGATCTTAAGTTTTTGGGTATTGGATGATTCAATAATTACTTCCATGGGATTTTTTTTTCTGTACCAGGGATTAAACTTGGGGGCACTTAACCACGAGGATGCATCAGCCACATCCTCAACCTATTCTGTTTGTTTGTTTGAAACAGGGTCTTTCTAAATTGCTCCATARGATCTTTTCATACTCCTTGATTCCATGTTTTCTTTAACTGCACTTATGTTCCAGTAGTGATTTTAAATTTGAGAATAACCACAAATATTTCAGTTACTTGACTGGGCATTTGTAAATGGAAATTTGAGATTCACTTGTTCACGAACCCTCAATGTAAAAATGCCAGTATCGGGATTCAGAATCTGTGACACATCTATTACTAATTCTTGTTAAAAGATGTTTATCCCTGGGGCAATCTTTCTTCAGTCCACAAACCACACTTTAACCCAGCTTCAACACCCATACAACGCAGCAGGTTACCCCGCAGGTAATTCAGGAGGAAATCTTTACACATGCACGTTATCCCATAATGACCAGAGATTTCCATTTGTGGCTGATTGGATCAGTGTTGGTGACCCACCTGATGGCTGCTGTGTCCCTGCTCCCATGACCCCACCCTCTCTGACACCTCTGCACACACTGTGGTTGGGTTTTGCAGTAAAGATGTAAAAGGGTTTTTCTGGTGTAATTCTAACCACTCTGGCATTAGATAGGTCCTGATTTTTTTCAGATTCTTAGAACTCAACTTTTAATCACACTAAAATGAGAGCCCATTGAATTGTGGTCATCTCTTGTGGCATCTATTTGGTTCACAGCTTAGATGGTCATTCTGTGATCAGCCTAGGTGAGAGGGTCACCCTTTCCTAAAGCTGTTCCTGAAGAGTCTCTACAGCAGGTAGTAGGGAAGGCAGTGAAGTGGGCGCTGGCTGGAGTGGCCTGAGCAGCCCTCCTGCCCTCACAACCACACCCTGAAGGGGAGGATAACTGCCCTGCCATCTCTGAGCGTAGGCCCTGAGACTTGACTTCCCCTGGCCTTAGAGGATTGGGTCCATGGGTTCCCAGTGTCCAGTCAGACTCAAAAGGACTTGAGAGCTAACTGTGCAGTCCTATAGGTTAGGGCTGGGCATGCTGATGAGAAAACTGACCTGGAAAGAGAAAGCTACGTGGCCAGAGGGAGTCTTGGTTCCAGATGCCTCATGGAGCCTGGCTGATGCCCTTCCCCTTCCATTACTGTAACACAACGTCTGGGGCAATTAACTTACAAAGTGAAAAGACTTGGTTCAGCTCCAGTCCAAGATCTAGTGGCCCCATCACTTTGGGCCTCTGGCCAGGGGGGCACTTTACAGCAAGAGTATGTGGCAGAGTAAGCGACTCACTCCATGAGCCAAGAAGCAGAAGTGAGACCAAGAGGCCAGGGTCCCCATTAGGCCCCACTTGAAGGAGCCACCCACCRTAGCCTGGCAACACCACCCTGTAACTTGTGGGCCTTTGGGGACACTCAACCCAACCATGACACATAGATAATCCATTTGTTGGCCAAAGCAACACACTGAGAACTACTGGATATTGGATCCAAGTAAAATCTAATCCTTGGACACAGGCAGAGTGCCAGGTGAAGAGCGGGCAAGCTGGCGATTCTCCTGGCCCGCCAGACACTTGGGGCAGGTGCTCACACACACCTTCACCGTGGGCAGTGCTGACCCATCTGCTGACCAGCCTGTTAGCCCACCCGGGCCACTTACAAGCCCAGGCAGCGGCTGACCACAGTCCTGGCGATGCTGCCTGAGCCACCTCTGAACCGCAGCGGCACGCGGTGTGCACTTCTCACACACTGGGGACCCCCGCCCTGGTCCTGGGGTTGCCTAGGTGGCCCTGCTCGTCCCGGCCGACTGGCAGCGGGCGGCGGGGGTCCAGATCGCCCACGCGCTCTCCGAGGCCAGAGGACCACCCCTTCACGGTGATGGCAGAGGTGCACAGGCCGCGACCCAGGGGGCACGCTGTGCCAAGGCGGGTCGCCTAGGCGACGTCCCCACTGCACCTCGGGCGGGGCGGCGGGGGCGGCGGGGGCGGCGGGGGCGGCGGGGGCGGCGGGGGCGGCGGGGGCGGCGGGGGCGGCGGACCCTCGCACGCCTCGCGGCTGCCGAGCGACCGTCCCCGCGGGCCCCGCGCTCCCCCCGCGCTGTCTAATACGGGCAGCCCCGTAGGCTCGGCCACGCCCCTCAGTGACGTAGGAGACGGGCAGCGGCTGGGACCTACACCCCGCCCTGTGACGACGGGCACACAGGTGCCCCGGCGTGCCGTCAGAGCCCGCTCGGAAAAGAGCTACCCTAAGCCTCTGCCGCCCGCCGACAGGGAGCCCTGACGCGAACGCGCCGCGCCTGGACTCCCTCTCCCGGCGGCCCCCGCGCGCGGCCTTCTGGGACCTGTGGTCCTCCACAGGCGGGCGCGCGGCCTTCTGGGACTTGTAGTCCTCCACGGGCGAACGCACTGCCTTCTGGCACGGCCGTCGGGCTCCACGKTCGGGTCCGGGTGGCGGGGCCCCTCGCGGGGCGGGGCCCGCGCGCCTGCCCGCGTCCCTGGTGCGGCGCGTGCGGCCAGACGGCCTGTGCGCTGCGAGCGAGTCCCGCCACTGAGCTAGCACGTCTCGCCCGGCGACGGCCCGACGGGCCCGGGCGCAGACGCGCGCCACCGCCTCGCAGGACGTGCGCGGGAGAGCGGGCCGCGCGCGAGCGAGTGCGCGCGCGCCCGACGACGCGGCTGCGGGCCGCCTGGTGGTGTGCGTCTGGAGTGGTGGTGTGCCTTCCGAGTGCGCGAGTGCATGGGCGTCGTGGGACCATGAGGGTGTGCGGGTCTGCGTGGTCACGCGTGTGTGCCGCGTCGCAGGCCTGCGTGGCACAAGTCCGCTGGCACGCCGGCACGACGGTGTTGCTTCTGTGAGTGCGCGTGCGTGCCGGCTAGGCTGAGGTCGCTCACGTCCAGACCGCACAGCCTTGCTGGCGGTCAGCCCCCAAGAAAGCGGAGCGACCCGAGCCCCACCACAGCCCCAAGACAGCTGACTCCTCCAAACACAACCTCGGACCCAGCTCCCGACCCAAGAGACAGACTCTCCCACGCTCAGAACAGCCCTGACCCACCCATGACAGCCCCCAGGACAGCCTTGAACCTGAGGGTGGCCCCCTAGGTAGCCCCCCGCCCTGGGAAGACCCCTGTGGAAGCCCCCCAATCTTGAGGACAGTCTCCCCTACGCCCCCCGCCCTAAGGAAAGCCCACTGTCCCTCAGGAAGGCACCAGGCCGAGGACGGCCTGGCCTGAGGATGGCCCCCAGGACAGCTTCGGGCCCCAAGGACAGCCCCCAGCCCGAGGACGGCCCCTGTGGACAGCTCCCGGACCCAAGGACAGCCCCCAGACCGAGAGGACGGCCCCCCATGGACAGCTCCCGGCCACAAGGACAGCCCCCAGCCCCAAGGACAGCCCCCAGCCCAAGGACAGCCCCCGTGGACAGTTCCCGGCCCCAAGGACAGCCCCCAGCCCGAGGACGGCCCCGTGGCTGGGCGCGGCGGGAACGGGTGGCGGCGTGTCGGACCGCCGCCCTGCTTGTGTCTGCTGAACGCCGCGGCGGGCGCGAGGGCTGCAGCCAGCCACCGCCGCACCGTGTTAGGGACCCCAGCCTCCCCCGACGCGACTAGCCGCTCACAGGCGTTTCTGAGCCGCGGGAAGACTCGGTCCCCTGATGTCCCTGGACACCAGGAGAGAGAAGAGACTGAGGAGACGGGGACCGGCCCAAGGAGGACGTGGTGCTTCCTCCAGGACAGGCAGCCTGGCCGGGTCAGGAGGGATCTAGGAGCAGGAAGGTCGGGTCTGGGAACCGCCAGTCTCGTGGGGGATGGAGGAAGTCTTCCAGGACGCTGGACAGATCAGTTGGGGACCAAAGAGGCCGGTTATCCCCTTTCCCTGATGGGGGCACAAGAAGATGATTTGGGGGGAGACGGAGGATACTTTGGGGAGCATGGAGCTGGGAGCCCTCAGGAAATGTTCTGGCTAGGCAGGACTCCTATGAAGTGCTGTGGGTGAGGGGCTTGGATGGGCTTGGGGCTCTGCAGTGGCTGTGCTCCAGTGCAGGGAGCCGCCCCTGAGGGGGCAGGCAGGGGATGCTGTCCAAGGGTCTGCGTTCGGGGGATGACTTGAAGTTCCAGGATGTCCGTCTGCAGATGGGCTGTGTGCATGTCTGTGCCTGCATGTGTGTGGAGGGATCTGGGCGCTCACGGGCAGGTCCAGCTTGAGCAAGTGGGTTCTCAGTTTCCCTGGAGTGTATGTTAGGATGTATGTGTCTGTGTGCCCAGGTGTGCCTGGTTATTATCTGAAAATGTGTGTCCAACAGTCTGGGACTCCCCTAAGTTTGAAGCTGTGTTTGCACATGTGTGAGGGTCTGCCAGTGGGTCTCTGTGACTTTTTAAAAGGACCTGTGGGGCAATGGGAAGTGCCTGTGAGTTTGTCAAAGTCAGCCGTGAGTCGGAGAGTGCACAGTCTGGGGAGGCTCATGTGTGGGAGTGCATGGCCTTCCTGCCAAGCCTAGCCCTTGACCTGTAACCACCTGGCCAGGGGTCTCTGGCCAGGGGTCCCTCCTCTCAGTATGAAGCTGTGTGACCTACACATCTTTTTCTTCAACAGCAATTTGCTTTTCTCTGGTGACTAGATGGGGTGGGTTGGAGGACAATCATGTGAGACCCAGGTGAAGACCTCAGTGACGGGGACATGGTGCAGGGAAGCTGGGGACAGGGTGGAGGAAGAGACCCCTTGACGCTCAGCCCCGCTAACAATGAAAGTGAAGCCAGCCGTTCCTCTGCCTTTCTCTGCTGTAGGCACTGTGAATTCCTTGACAGGCATGCAGACGTGCAGTCTTCATATTTAGTCATTTTGGTTCTCATTTCTATGGAGTGGAAAGCTAAAATAGGTATAGAGGGTTCAATGACCAACCCAGTATTCAGATCACCGAGCAAAGTACAGAACACCTACTTTAATTTGAATTTCAGACAAACAAAAATTGCTTTTTAGTAATTATCAAATATTGCATATATAGGACATACCTCTACTTAAAAGTAACTTATTAAATACATTTTAAAAATAGTTCTTTTGCATAGGTGTGTCCCAGGCAGTAACAGGGATATACCTACCCTTGAAAACGATGCATCTTTAATCTGAAAGTTGTTTTCAGTGTGGACCTTCTATTTTTATTTACTTAATCTGGCAACTCAGTCCCAGAGGTCTCTCCTCTAGTGAGTGGTAGGCTGGGAACCATCCCCCTTCCCTTCCAGACAGACCTTGCCACCGTGAGGATGGTGGCAGAGCACTCCCATCTGAGCTTTCCAACACCCAGCTTTGTTGCAGGACGGCTCCTCCCCCAAGCAGTGCATCAGGGGCCACATGGACTGGCCCTTCCATCCTCATGGTGGTCCTGCGGAGTCATATAACACCCCGCTTCAGAGTGGGAGGCACCCAGGCAAATGTAGCAGGGTCATTTGCCCCAGGTCCACGTGAAGAACCTGATCAGCCCCTTTTCCTTTATCATAGTAAAATACCTAGAGTCGATGATACAGCAGAGAGGCTCGTTTTGGCCCAGAGTTGGGGAGGGGGACATCCCAAAAGCATGGTGCACCTCTTGGGAGGCCCCCTTGGCTGCATGGATCATGTTTGGAATGCCTGTGTGTCTCTGTGTGGTCTCTCTCCCTCCCCTTGAAAAGGGCTCAATCTTAGGGGCTCCAACCTAATGACCTAATCTTTTAATCACTTCCCAAAGGACTTATCATTAAACACTATGGTCAGCTTAAGTTTCTACTCTCTTGATATAATTACCCTAAGACTTTGAGGCTCAAAATCCTGCATGAGGGCTGGGGCTGGGGCTCAGTGGGAGAGCACTTGCCTAGCACATGTGAAGCACTGGATTTGATCCTCAGCACCACATAAAAATAAATAAATAAAATAAAGGTATTGTGCAAAAAAAAAAAAAAATCCTGCATGAGTTTGGGGAGGACAAACCACATTCGAAACATAGCAGGAACAGAACTGGGTCTGAAGTTGAGCCTCTTAAGTCTGCAGTGTCTTGTTCTGAGCTACTATGTTGTCTGTCACTTTAGTTTCTTAAGTCTGTTTTGTTTGTTTGCTTGTGGCTCCAGGAATCTAACCCAGGGTCCTGTGAATGCTTGACAAGAGCTCTACCACTGAGCATACCCCAACCAACATCATCACTGTAGAACAGGGTCAGAAAGACGGGAATTTGAATGCTCACTAAGAGCTGCCTTCACTGAGCACTGGCTATATTCTAGGCACTAGAGGATGATTTGATGTGCAGTAAAATGAGTTTCCCCTTCAGAGCCAGATTACATGCATAATTGTCAGCTTAATAACAATCTGAGAGTCTCCAAAGATAATGGCATTTGTTTGGGAATTGCAGCACATTGCAGAAGGAAGGCATATGCCAACAGTAACTTGTGGACATATTAAAGGTTGAAGCAAGGGGAATTTTTATAAGCAGAAAAGGGAGAACTTTACATGAGCTACTTGGACACAGAGTGCCTTGGTCAGAGACCTGAGGTGAGAGTTGGCTGTATCTCGWTGGTGGAGGTGCCATTGTGAGCAAGTGTTCTGTCCAGAGCATCTTAGGATGTTAAAGATGAACTTGGTTATGGAATTCTGTGCATTTGGGCAAGGCTTGCAATGCATGGGGTATGTGTACAGCAAGAGGAAATTTCTTGTGGGCTTTAGAAAGTCCTCTAGAAAGTACTTACCTCAGTACTTCCCTGGCCAGGACCTTGAAGAGTTCTCGGTAACTTCCTGGCTCTCACTCTGTCTGAGTCTGACAAGAATTACTTCATCTGGGTGTCAGCAGCATTCACACATTTTTTCCACCTTTTGCTTAGAGAGAAGAGACCCTCTCCAAGTCCCAGGCCTTGCAGTCCATGATCCTGTCTCTGCCAAGTGCTCTCCACAAATCAGCTGGTTGATTTTCTAGGGGGAGGCCCTGCTGACACTTAGAAGACTTGGGGAGGTGACATCTTCTGCCTGAGGGCCCCAGCTGCTGCGTGAGTGCAGAGTTCCAGCTCAGGCCACCTGCTCCTCAGCCCTCTTCCCAGGAGCTCTGCCTGCGGTGCACAAAATGCCACGTCAGCGGCAGCGCCGTGGCTGCGTCAAAGACAAGGAGACCTCAGATGACAGAGGTGAGAGACTGGGGAAGTGGGCAGGCCTGGGAAGGGCTTCCAGGGCATGCTGAGCCAGCCTGGACTCCAAGCCAGTCTTCCCTCTGGCTTCCCCTGGGGTGGAAAGGGTCAGAGGCTCTCCCAGGTGGAACCCCAAGGCATTCCGGTCATAGGGATGAGTCCTGGTACTTCCTTTGGGGTGTGTCTGGGGAGCTGAGGTCATCAGGACCCTCACTGTGGCCTAGTGGCCCTGCCTGAGCTAGACTCACATCCTGCTGTCTGGCCAGGGGTGGCAGGGCAGCAGGTTGGAGATGCTGGAAGCCAACTAGAGGAGATGGGGTGCAGAGTCAGGCAGGAGGTGACCTGGGCTCAGTCCCGTGAGTCTTGCTGGTGGGTTGGCCCACAAAGGAGGGCCGCTGAGCTTGCTGTGATGCAGATTCATACAAAGTTCAAAAACAGCACAGAGAGGTCAATCACCTGTGTGCCTTTGATTCACTTTTCCCTCATGGTTGTGTCTCACTTGATGGCAACACATCAAACACAAGAAGTCAGTATGAGAAGGGTGTGTGCAAGATCGCTGTTGTTTTATCACATTTACAGCATGATGTAACCGTTATTGCTACCAGAGAGAACTGTTTCTTCAGCACAAAGCTCTCCCTATCCCATCAAAGCCTCCCGTGCCCACCTGACTCCTGTCCTGTCAGAGCCACGCCCACTCCAGTCCACCTCAGCTGTCCTATCAGAGCCACGCCCACTCCTG